TCAGAATATTTTTTTTTTAATGAGATGTAATGAGGTTATAATACCCCTATAGCCTTTGGAATAACACCAATATAAGAAACAGTACAAGAAAATAATCGAATGTATGCCTTGAGCTACATGATGACTGCACAAACAGACTTCACGGCAAATTAGATTTCCTTGACTAGTGTTGTGGTTACAGTGATATAATTCATGTTTCATAACTCAGAAGAAATAATGAAGACATTGTAACCAGAAATGTGTCAATTTGAATAAATTTATTATGAATTGCTTTGGTTCTAAAAGCTCCCAATATGTTATAATAGAAGCCTACGTTCTTGCTTGAGAGCCAGCCAAACTATCTGTAGAAAATGGAATGGGTTTTTAACATCTTAACAAATCACAATGGTAGATTTTTCCTTCAAACAAAAAAAGAAGAACTGCTCTGAAGGCACCGTGCTAGTAAAAGAGATTGGAATATACCTTTCTTTTAAAGACACTTGGAAAGTGAAATGTTTGGAGGCCTCAAATCTACATGGTGGCCTCTTACTCCCCACAGAAACTCAAAACGTTGTTAAAACAGTACATCCATTTTTGCCTGAATCCAAGTTGCAACGAAGCAAAATGTAGCCCATGCAACAATTAACTCCCTTCACCCATCCCTGAACTGCAATTACATTTGGACTGAATGCTATAATCAATGGGCTACCTCCACCGAGACTGCAAAAGTAATGTATCCCACTAATTGGAATTTAGTTAAGGCACAAACTACAGTGTATCAGTTAAGAAGTTTCGTGTACCACCTTCAGCCACACATTCTGGCTTTAAGCTGATTTCTTGGTCAGAGGCTTGGTATTAACTCAGAGGCCATGGCTTGACAGTGCGCTAGAAACGGCCTCGAGAACTTGAAGAATTGCCACAGGAAGGAGAATCCTCAAACTCACTCTGTTAGTTCAAATTTATTAAGAGATTTTCAATGGGTCCTCCTGTAGCCTCCATGAAGTCAACACGGAAACATAAGGTTGCTACTGATTCTTACGTGCTGTGGCTAATTTGACCAAATGTGACCAAGTGCTTATACCTTCTATGGAACAGGGTTGTCATCTTGAGTTATCCAGTAGCACAGAAACCCAGTCATGAGAAAGAACACCAACTTTTGTGTCTAGTGTTGGTTTATAAAAGCCTGAACTTTATGAAAAAGGAATATATTAGTCCAGTAGTTCTTCTTAGATGACAGCATGAAAGTTCAAGTGGGTCAGAAGTCTGAGAACTGCATTGCTTTTGTTTTATAAAATAAGTTCAAATAATGTAAAAAAAACCCTCCAAATGTGTATTGCTTTCTCATACTTGAATTCTCAGACAAGTACAATGGATTGAGCTAAATTTATAGAACTGATGCAGAATGCTGAAGGTTGAATTTAAAAGGGTTGAGCGGCTATAACAATTTTCCTAATTTTAGATGTGATCGCAGTTTGTACTCCTGCTTCCCAAATGCTTCAGATACATTAGATGTTAAATTTCTTTGAAGTCAGGTGCAAATTATTTATGAACTTATTCAGTAGCCAGCATTTTTCACATTTCCCCTCTCACCCCAAGGGAAATTTTGTAAGACTTTTTGACTTTTAAGTAGAATTTACAGGGCCACTGTGTGTAACACAATTGTCTGGAATTACATTGTATGTTATTATTCATGTGTAACGTCTCCTTCATAAGTACACAAAAGTGAACTAGAAGGTTGCTTGCATTCAGTGTTATGAAACTGTTTTATTTGTCATGATGAAACTAGGACTATAAGGAAAAAATCACTTTTTAAATGAAGTAGAGTGTCTACTAAACAACTCCAGAGCACAGCTTCAGTGAACATGAAATCAAAGGAAAACGTACTTTTTTCTCCAGCTCAAAGGAAAATCACCTTTTGGACCAGATTTAAAGCTGACTTATTGTCAGGAGTACTGAAGTATTAATACGTCTTACCTTCTTATTTTTAGAAACAAGAAACCTTCCTTATAGTTACAAAGAACGACGGCCTGATTGTCAGAGTACTAATTTTGGACTCAAGAGTTTGCATTCCTTACTCACAAATTCCATTAGATCTTGAGAAAATAATTTTGCAAATTAATTGCATTGTCTAATTTTCAACAGCTAACTGAGATGCTTAAGTCAGAAGACAGTTCTCCCTAGGTTTCCCATGTAGTCAGAGGAAATAAAAAGTTATTCTGGGATTGCTGTCAGCACTAAACCCCCTATGTGATTTTTAGTTCACCTCAGGAGTCTTCTGTTACTCTCCATGGAAATTCTATGCCTCTACACTAAATGGCCAACCTGACTTGGTATAGTGCCTAAAGTCAGGTATGCTAAATACCCACTTAGGGTTAATTTTAAAACATATTCAGGCACATAAAGATGCAAACATACTCATCCGTATGAAGGGAATAAATACATTAAAGTGTTAGGTGCACTGATGATGTGATAATTAGGTTCATAATAAGTGCTGAGATTGTCATTGTTAGATAGGGTTTCTGCATTACAGGCCTTTGTATTAATAACATTTTAATATAATAACTTCTAAGTAGTCAGCACAATGCTTTTAAAACATGAACAGTAGGTTGCTTTTTCAAAGGTTTATTGAATACCTCATTCTCTGAATGTAGAATTCTTGGAAAAACTCTTGAGACAGAGCAAATTCTCTTTCTTTGTGTAAACTCTGTGAGATTAATTCATTTCAAAGAGTACTAAATGTTCTACCAGGTGACGTATTAAAATGGTGGCAGATAGGTTATCATACAGTGGCACTACCATTGGAATTCCAGTTGCCCAGATGAGCATTTGTTTATTTTACTTTCTGTCATTTGGGAGGAACGTAATGACTCCATCATTAAGGTTCAGCACAGCTTTCCATTTCAGAGCCCATTTTCGAGGCATTGCACAGGTAGATTGATTTGGAAATTGCTTTGCTCAATCAGGGCTGGTGCAAATTTGAGGGTGCAAATCTGGGCTAAGTTATTCTAGTGATTCTGGAAGAGAAAAACTCCCCCCCCCCTCCCCCCACATGTATGCAGATACTCATACAATCACATTTTAAATTTCTTACTATTCCCAGAATTAGAGAAAAACCTCCTTAGATCTAATGAAAGCTTCCAAAACCCAGTTTCACAATGCAATATGTTTGAAGTTACTAGAGTAATTTTGCTTCCTAAAGTGATGGATAGTCTATTGTGAGATGCACGTTATAGAAGAAGAAAAGAAAAAATATGAGTGAAATTCAGGCACTTAAATACAAGTGCCTGGTGCCATATTTAATGTCCAAGGATATCCACACTAGGATGTCACATCTGACATAGGATGAACAGAAAACCCATGCCGCCTTAGGGCATGGTAGAATAGGTATCTAAATTGGCATTAGATGCCTGCATTTAGGCAAACAAATCTCTATACCTCAGTTTTTCAAAATACAGAATTCATTTGTCTTTCATTTTCATGTATCAGCCTTTTACTGTGATAACAAAAGTGGAATGCTGCCTGCCTTGAGTCTGACCAAGTATGTTGTTTCTTTTTTGCCCAAAATAACTCTACATCTCCCTCTTTGCATATATCTGGAGACTCTTATTGTGCTTTGTTTAGTACTATATTGCTTCAGTGTCCTTGGCAGCAGCTCAGAAAAGGCTGAGACAAGAGTGGTGTGGCTGTTTGTGAAAAGTCATTTTAGTTCTACACTTCTTGATTTTTTATTTTTTTTTTAATGCTTGTATTTTATTTCATACTCTACAAAATGACTAGTGTTAAAGGATCTTGAATCTGATTTCCCAGCAACTCACATTACGGAAACTGAACTGGATAAACACAAGGAGTACCAGATAGCATAGTCACCTGCTCCCTTCCCCCCATATTAAGTACATGTTTGTGTGCAGTATTCTGAAGGTATATAAGGTCAGAAATCATTTTCTTTGCGTAAGGTGGAGTTCCAGAAAAAGGGCTGTAAAAAGTATCACCAATACTTTGCTGTTGTGAAACTTTGCCTGTTCAATCTATCTAAATATTTTATCGCTTATGTGATGTTTAAAGTTGTCAACTCTTCACAGTAGTTATTTCAGAGGAACTAATAAAACATTAATTATCACAAATATTTACAAGGGATTAATAAGAACAGAGAAATGTATTGAAAGAAAAATGTTTCTTCCATTAAAATACTATCATTACAAATGTTTGGCACTGCTAAATGCATTCCCTGAGACTCATCAATTCACTTCCACGAATAACTGCAGCAGTATGTTATACAGTTCATTCATCCATAACTACCCAGAAGATTACACCTAGTCCAGTAGATTTAGACCCATCAGATGGAGACGTAGCCACTGTAATCCATATATATGTAATATGCACCCTGGACTATTACAGTTCTGTCTAGGAAGGAACTTCATGCCTTATAGAAGTTCAAGGTTGGCCAGTGCAGATCACTTCACCTAATGCACAGTTTATTATAGATGCTACTGAATGATTGATTTCATGCAGCCTTGGTGCGAGGGTGCAGAAGCCAGCATGTCACATTGTCTGACCTGCATCTCACAAGCCCTACATGCCACCCAGTCAACCCTATGCTGAATCTAATTATTTGTTTTTAGCTACAACGACCTTTCAGAAATCACAAGCTCTTGATTTGGTTTGATTGATTTGAAGGGTATCATTCTTAGTCTCAAAACCCTGCACGGAATTTAATTTTGTTCTTGTGCTACAGTCCAAGGCAAAATTCCAGCAGGGGGATGTTCAGGGCTGAGGACAAAGCTGTCACTGGGAATCACAGAACTTGCTATTGAAATAGCAAACTGTTGTCAAAGCTAGCAATAAAATCGATTCGTTCACTCAAGTTTCTTACAAAAGTACACTAAAATGTTCACATTTTTCAACAGGTAAAAAATCCTAAGCCCAAACCAAACAACAAAAGAAAAAACAGTGCAAATATGCTTCTTGATAGTAAGTGCAGAAAAGGAAAATTAAGTCAGGGGAAAAAACAGAGTATTACCGACCTGTGGTTTGTGTAAGTGCACACAGAGGGAGTTTCAGATTAGGTTGAAAAGCAGCTTCTGGAAACAACTGAGAACAGCAGTACTGATTTAATCCCTTGGAACCTTTTCCTTATCTGCAATAAAGGATTGCAGATTTTTAACAATAATTCTAAATTTAACATTCAATGCAACCTATAATAATAGGCAAGAGTCCTCACAAACCATTCAACCATGGATAATTTTCAGAGTTACGCACTACTGCCAAGAAGCTACCTGGTGATACCTCTCTCTACTTGTGCTCATTGGGTAAATTGGTCTCTCATGAAATACTGCCCAAACAGATTGGCCAGTTTTCAAAGTTAAAAATGGGCTTTTGAAATGCTCAAGAAGGAGCAAAGATGCACAGCTTGTTGTACCAGGACCATAATATGTGTACGACATATTCTAAGTACATTGAGTTAATAAATACACATAAATTATAAATTCAGGCTTACACCTTGGGGCATGCCTTTTTTACTGGACAAATTACTTTTTTTTTTTTTTCTTAACGTGATCCACTGTATCATTACATTCGATGAAACTTATTTTGGGGTGCTTGTAGAGAAAACATTGTATAGGGAGACAAGACTTATGCCTGGTTATAGCCTTGTACTGGTAAAACTAGCTACTTCTATGGTTTCAATCCAGTACTTCAGTAGAGATAATTCTTTTCTCTGCTATTGAGGCTATGACAGAAGATGGTGTAAAGGTACGATATTAGTTCTCTTAGCGTAACCATATTTAAGAAATTATAGTGAAGCTTTTTGCGGTGAACCCATTATACATAAAAAACCACACTGAATATATCTTGATAAAAGCAAGGGGGGGATGTGTGGAAGGGGGAAATAAAAAAAATCTAACAAAAAACTTCTAGTTTTCAGAGATAATCACAGATAGTTTGAATTTTTTAAACCTTCACTTTCTCAGTAATAACTGTGAAAGTTTACTCTAATTAAAGGCATAATTTTGTCACATTAATCAAGTGCTGTGGTTCTAAATAGTGCACACGCTTTTAAGAACTGGAGAGCTTGATTTTCTGGAAGTGGGGTGCATACTGAATAGCTTGAATGCGTTGGGATTTTTCTTAATATATATTTTAAATTTTACTTGATAAACACCTGAACCTGACTAGGGCGAACAAAGATTAAATTAAAAGAGAAAAAAACCTACTGAGTTAAGGATTGAAGAATGCCCAGAAATTTATCTTTAAGAAAACGTAAGTCTTGGTCAAGGTCCACTATGTTGTGGGGAAAAAAAAAAAAAGACTAGACAGCTTAAGTGTATTTATGATAAAAAGGAAGCCTAGTCACACAGTTCAACAAATATTTTGGTGTCAGGACATAGCAGAAATCTACTAGCCTTTTATTATCAACACTATTAATTGTTCAGAGATTACTGGGTTTGTACTTGTTCAAAAAAAAGAGTTAAAAAAGGTTACACTTGTACACAGTCTAGATCAAATGCTCTCAGATATCTTTAGGCAAGCTCGAGCAATCTTTTTTATTCTTAGAGTTGTTTGCCAGGAGTGACAGTAACTGTGGAGAAACTTTAGTTTTGCATTCTCACCTATGCAGTGTTTCCAATGCTACACTGGAAGATTCACGTAGGTCTTTCTGTGCCTCAGTTTTCCAGTGGCTGTATTCTTCTCTTACAATGCTATTTCCATAGAAAGCACTGAAAGCAGCAAGCATCAGGACAGCCTATGAGAAGTAGAAAATAATTTTTAAAAGTCAATTTGTTTCTTAAATTGCTACATTCAAGTGAAATTACAATAGCATTAAATGCTGTCATGACTCATTAGCAAAGTTATTTTGAAACATAGAAGTGTTTAACTTATTTGCTAATATTCCTTCTCATTGTGTTTTTTATTTGCCTGGCATTTAAAAATAATTACATGACTAAGACACAAACACACACCATGTACGTCAGGTTGCAACTATGTAACAAGTTGCACAGACTGGGTGAAACCTCAACACATATTTTCTTTCATGGCTGAACTTTTAAAATGCTGATTAATATCAGCATATAATTGCCACTTGAAGGTTTTCATCTCACCCCGACCTCAGTTTTCTACCTAGAGCACCTACACCAGTTGTTCTTCCTTCTATTCTTTTGAAGACAATGAGGTTTAACACGCCACATTTATGCCAGTGAATTAATTATGAAAAACACCGTGGTCTGGTCTGCACAATTGTGTAAAAAGAGCTGTTTGCAAGCAATGAGCAAACACAGTCAATCATCTGACACTGTAAAATTCCAGATGTTTGCCAGTGTCTGTATGTATGAATTGTTAATCAGCTTGGACTTGCACTTCTACAGCCAGCATAAGAGAGAATGAGCTGTTCAGAGCACAAGAAATCCTTCATTTCATTGAAAATAAACGTCCTGCAAAATCATCAGTGACTCAGCCAAAATGAAAACTGTGAGTATTGCTTCTATGTTAGAAAAAAATCTTTCTCTGGAACTGAAATTTTGGCTTGGGTGTGACTTCTTTGGTGCTTCAGTAAAAACAGTGAAGCATGTATGTCCTGAAACATTCTCTATTTTCACCAGTCTGACATACCAGTCACTGCCCGTGAGCACGCCAGGTACAGGCAGAAGGTTTCTACATACGGCTGTGTTTACCAGGGGCTGGGCTTTAACTATTTGACTTTCTATCAAATTGACTGAACCCACACGATTTTACCCACTCTGCTTGGTGCCGTGAAACTGCTCTTCATTCAGGGAGGTGGTTATTTTTATTTTGCAATAGGATGAACGCTGATAAGGAACAGCCATGGAATTTCCACGTAGGATTTTGTGTACATACAGCGGGGCAGGCGCTGGCTTCCTCAGGGCACAGGCCGCTGCCGAGGAGCCCAAGGCACCAGGAAAAACCTTCCCGCTGTCCGCCCTGGGATCACCCGTGGCCAAACACGAGCCCCAGGCCCAGCTGGGAGCTTGGCCTCCCGACGAGCTGTTCGCTCGGCCCAAAGGTAAAACTCCCATTTGTTCCTTATTTATAATTCCTTATCCAATATAAATCCCCGACCTCGCAGCCAGGACGGGGCAGCCGAGTTAATGATTTGTTGGGCGCCGAGGCAAGTGCCAGGCCCCTCCGGCGGTGCCCCGTTACACACCGCTGCCCGAGGGTCCGGCCAAGCCCGGGGGCAGGGGGCTCCCGGCCAGGTTTCCCCTGTACCCAGGCGAAGAGCCCCGGGGTCCGCTCGGCGGAGCGGCCGCTCTCCGCCTCCTGAGGAGACGACCGGCGGCACCCCCTCCCCTCAGCTGCCCCGACCCCCCGGGCAGGCCTGGCCCGACGCCCC